AATATCAAAAGTTTACGCCCTAAGATTGCAAAGATATAGGGATTAGAACTCTTTTGAGTCTGTGGCAAAAACTCAATTCCTTTGAAATTTTTTATAGCAGGATGAAAAAGTTAAAAGTTTTTCGCCCTGTTGTTGGGTGATAAAGTCACTTAATCACCCTTCATCGGGAAACATTGGGTGTGATAAATTCAATCAAAATTGAATAAACAATTAATTTCTTCATTTTCCGCATAGTTACTATATGAATATCAATATAAATGTATTCAACAATTAAAATAAAATAGAATATTCATAAAAGAAATGTAAGCACAGAAAATAATCTTCACACAAAATTTCAGCCATTTTCATGAAAGTCAACTCTTGTCAATTAACAGAAAGAAATACAAATCTTCTTTGTTTCAAAACAAAAGAATTGATTCTTTGCCACACACTCAAATTAACCTGCTGGTGTAAATCTTTTATATATAAAACTTTTTTGACTTATTTGAACTAAAATTGTTCATATTTGAAATATCTTAGGTCTACGATCGGGTTTCAAATATATAGGAATTGTAAAATCAGAGTTAGTGTCAATGCAAAGATGCAATTTCTATGTTATAAAATTAAGAATGATATTTCTTACAATAGTATTTTCATACTTAACCTGACTTTTAAAATTTAGAATTTCCGAAACAAAACAGAAAAGAAACTATTTTTCTATTCGAATATATAAAAGGGGAATTTTTAGGATTATTGAGACAAAAACTGCCAACTATATTATATTGTATAAATTGATCTAAAGTGTCAAGCTAGCTGTCAAATTATGTGTAGTTAGAATGAGGGATTTTATTATAAAACTAAAAATACTTAGATCAATAGCAGAAAAGAGTTTGTCATTTTTTTTCATTAATATTGTAGCGCCAGCGAGAATTTATGATCTTTTAACGGAGATTCAGGGTTAAAAATAGCCTAACCCTGATTGTATATATATCTATAAATAGAATATTGCCAGCGTGGAACCCGAGTTCATCTACCTGACGCTTGTTAGGGTGCTAGTTGTGAAGGTATAACGGGCATTGACCCAGGGAGTTTGATTAAGCTAGGGATTTCCAAACTGAACCCGGCAGGTTAACTTATACCCGGAGAACGTGTAGTTGGTGATCAACCATCTCAGCTAGAGGTTCCTAGACAGAAATCAAGATCTGTAGCTCAATCCTCTTTGCTTCAATATTAATTTATCAGTAGTATCATTATCAGTTTGTATTTTTACACTTAATAAAGTATTCGTACCGTATATCGTTTAATATCAGGTGAATGAGTTCTTCTTTATTTAGTATGTTTTCGGAGTAAAATATATCTCCCGAATTTGGTTTATTCGTATACAACAATCTTAACATCAAAAAAATTCTAACTTATTTTTGTGATAATTTTCTAATTTCCGCCCATCAAAAATCACCATATGTCAGTTTTGTCGTTTGAATGAAAACTATGCAACCATAATTAAAGATGGGAGAATAGTGAGAAAGCGAACGAAATAGATGGAAAATTAACGATAATTTTGAGAACGAGCGAAATCCATTGAAAAAACGGAACGAAATGGGTGGAAAATTAACGTTAATTTTGAGAACGAACAAAATCCATAGAAAAAAAGAACGAAATAGGTCGTTCACGAAAGATAAAAAAATTAAAAATTTGTTTCAAGAGAAAAGCTGGTTTTAGTCTTAAAATGAAACCCGCCTGACATGTTCGAGTACAATGTTTAACAACTGTTGAACGCAGGGGGGACGATAGTTCTCTACCTGTGTGCTCAGTTAGCTGTACTGTACACTTACAACTGTTTACTAATATTGATATATACTATACAGAGCGTCCCATATCATATTAGATTATTTCCAAGTTTCAACACCAAAATAAACCCATAATACTCGAAAAACCTATCATTTTCCTCAAGAAAATTCTTATATTAACCTTATTCAATTTTTCAAAATGATTCATTCTTCTTAAATTTTCCGATTAGTCCCAAAAATCGTAATTTAGACCGATTGACGATCTAATATGATGTGGGACACCCTGTAGGGTAGGCCAGAATCAACTTATAATAAACAAATATACAGTACGCTCTCGGTATAGTTTATGGCCTATAAAGTTAGCAAAGGATTTATGTACATCATCAAACTATACACTATAACCTGGTTGGTTGAACGTAAAAACGTAGTTAAATAAATGTAACAAAAATAAAATAGATGTAAAAAATACTTCACCAATGTCGTCTTCCTTTCAAACTGGATATTTTAACTTCCATCCAGAGCTAAAAATCTTGTATTGGATACCGGCCCTTAATCCTGATTTATAAATCTCTGTATCCACTGTCGATACTTTTGATTTTCCCTGCTGGATTGCAACCAATCAGAGTTCTCTCATTGATTCGAATCCTGTAATCAACACTCTAGTTTGTTAAATTTAATACATATTCCAGGATTCAGATTAAAGATTGAATTAATCTCGAGATTAATAAAAAGAGGAGATCTCAAGCATTGATCTCAACATCCTCAATTCTAAAGTTTTTAAGCTCAGCTTGCAGATGTTATAATTATGTAACAGCGAGTATAAAAATGTGAAAGAATCTACTTAAATATTTTGAAATCTAATTTTTGAGATCAAAGTACAGTAGCCAGTGCATTATTTCTTGGCCGGAGTCTGTCAAACTTGCTCTGAAGGGCTGCAGTAGAAAAAAAGTCCAGCGAATGGTAAATTAAGGGTATTTCTATACGAGAAAATTATATGTATTTGTTTTTAAGTTTAATTTATGCTAAAGGACTGTAATCAACCATCTGATATTGAAGATCTAGGTTCCCAGATCTCAAGTTGCATTTGCAACTGTATCTCTGATAACTATAAAGAAGAATGGCACAAAGTGCATTTCATTCAATTTCCGGAACATCCGTTCTTTACTTTACACAGTACTCCTTCTAACTCAGATAACAAGAACTCAATATATCTAGAAGTATAGGAAATGAGTGCACCGTTTTAAGAGGTAGAGTTTTTAGAGGTACACCCCAAAGACTAGATAACTCTTGCCTTGCTTTCTGAACTGTTAAGTACTCCATTTTGAGTAGCCTAGCATTCAATAGCTTAACATATATCTATAATAATGGTATAATAACCCAATATATCTAGAAGAATGGTAGGAGAACCCAATATATCTAAAAGAATGGTGGGTGAACCCAATATATCTAGAAAAATATTAGGAGAACCCAATATATCTAGAAGAATGGTAGTAGAACTCAATATATCTAGAAGAATATTAGGGGAACCCAATATATCTCAAAGAATTGTAGGAGAACCCAATATATCTAGAATTATGGTAGAAGAACCTAATATATACAGAAGAATGGTAGGAGAACTTAATATATCTTAGAAGTATGGTAAGAGAACCCAATATATCTATAAGAATGGTAGGAGAACTCAATATATACAGAAGAATATTAGAGGCACCCAATATATCTAAAAGAATTGTAGGAGAACCCAATATATCTAGAAGTATGGTAGAAGAACCCAATATATATATAGAAGAATGGTAGGAGAACTCAATAAATCTTAGAAATATGGTAAGAGAACCCAATATATCTAGAAAAATATTAGGGGAACCCAATATATCTAGAAGAATATTAGGAGAACCCAATATATCTAGAAGAATATTAGGAGAATCCAATATATGATAGAAGAATGGTATGAGAACCCGATATATCTATTAGAATAGTGAGAGAACCCAATATATCTATAGAAGAACTTTAGAAGAACCCAATATATATTAGAATATTTTTTCTCTATTGTGTAGCCTTTGTTTCCTCTAATGTGTATCCTCTGTGTCCTCTATTGTGTATCCTCTGTGTCCTCCATTGTGTATCCTCTGTGTCCTCTATTGTGTATCCTCTGTGTCCTGCATTGTGTATCCTCTATGTTCTCTATTTTGTATCCTATGTGTCCTCTACTGTGTATCCTCTGTGTCCTCCATATTATGTATCTTCTGTATCCTCTCTATTGTGTATCCTCTATGTTCTCTATTATGTATCCTCTGTGTCCTCAATTCTGTATCCTCTGTGTCCTCTACTGCGTATCCTCTTTGCCCTCTATATTATGTATCCTCTGTGTCCTCTATTGTGTATCCTCTGTGTCCTCTATATTGTGTATCCTCTATGTCCTCTATATTGTGTATCCTCTATGTTCTTTATTCTGTATCCTCTGTGTCCTCTATATTGTGTATCCTCTATGTCCTCTATATTGTGTATCCTCTATGTTCTTTATTCTGTATCCTCTTTGTCCTCTATATTATGTATCCTCTATGTCCTCTATATTGTGTATCCTCTATGTTCTTTATTATGTATCCTCTGTGTCCTTTTTGTGTTTTTTAATCCTTTCCTTTTACTTCCATTGTTTCCAGATTAGAAATAGAAACGGCGAAAAGTTTGTTGCACGTTATATTGGTTGCAAAATATAGAAAAGAATAAAACATGTTTTTAAAGTTTCGAAAAAATAGTTTCACCATTATCTATCCAGATAATATAATCCTCAGATAATATTTAAAAGAAAGTTGACGTAATTTCATCTTGAAATAATCCTCCATTTAAAGAATTCTAAGCAAGGTTTAAAACAGTACTTTCTAAACATATCTCACAACAGCAATAAGTTTTAATCCTGTCCAAATGTCTTCCTTGACTCTGCTCTACAACTCCGCAAGTAATTTTGGAAAACTGGAATTTCTGGATTGAAAAGAAGATATTTTGAGTAGGGCATGCATTACATACATCACATACATGCCCGCGGTATCAGACAAATATATGTTATTCAAATGAAGTACCGTCTGCAAAGCATGTATAATCATGTGGTAGGGCGTGCAGAGTCGATTTCTTCTCTATTATTGTTAACACAAATTCGAAATATAAAGAAGACGATTTTACCGACTCAGATGCCGTTGACTATTCTCAAGACGTGTGTATCTATTTCCGCCATGAAGTGCCCACATGTCACCCTCGCTCCTTCGTTCCCCCTCACCCCTCTACACATCCCAGCCCGGCAGTCAGATTGAAACACTGGAGATGATCACAACTCCGTCTCAGGGAGCAACCCTGGCTCCTTCATGGTGATGATGCAGATACCCAGCTATCAACAGACGATGCTTACATCCAGCTCAATATTGTTCCAAGAGTTCCAAAATTATCATGCGAACATTGAGACGCATTCCCTCATATTCGAAAATGATAAAACGGCGATCTCTCCCCCTCCTTATCCAAAGCCTGGGGTTAGCGGAAACCTGTTGTTACAGTTCCTGATGATCTGCACCACCATTATGAAGCTCTACAAATATGTTCCAACTGATGTGCGTCAATAGTTTTCTTTGTTTATTTTTAACCAACCAATTTTACCCAGTCTTGTGCAAATATTTCAAAACTTTCGTTTTTTTTAAATAAATGTTAGAAATATCCATTTCAGATATCTTTGTTTTATTATAGTGACTTTTAAAGTCAACAATTATATTTCATACTCCTTGGTTTACGGTCGCCTTTAAATATCAAAATTGAAGGCAGTTTTGTAGAAAGTCCTCTGCTACAAGCTTGAATGTTGTAATCTCTATATGTCTGCAATATTGTAATGATGTTGTGATTTTGTTGATCTTTTACGATCAGCAGTTCAAGGGATCTTAAGATCGCTGCGATCATAGTTATCTAGGGGTACTATACCCCTGTTGTACAGATATAGAATAATAACGGTTTTGTTGTTTACGTGATAATTCGGGAACAAGCCAAGCTTAGTTTATTTTTAACCCAAGCCACGCCGTCCGTTATTTTGGAGGGCGGGGTGCAGGGGGGTCGGCTCGATAAGCCGGGAAAGCTAGGGTTAAATCCAGGCAAGGGTGGAGCGAAGGTTCCCGGAGAAGAGACAGTTGGACACCAACCCTTTCGATGTGAGGTGGAGGAATATCCTGAGCATTCTTCTACCGTTGACTATTATTCATTTTTCATCGATCGTATAGTATTTTTCTTTCTCAATGTTTGTATAAAGTATAATAAATTGTAAAACCGTATCTCGGAATATTTGACGTTTGAGTTGTTGCATTGAATTTTTATCATATACTAGAATATGATGGTTTAAACCTTTGATATTCAAAAAATTTTGATCTAATAGAATTTATAGTTTGAAAAAGCTAAGGTCTACGACTTTGGGTTGCAAAAATACAGGGATTAAAAAATCTGAGTTCATGGCAAAAACTCAATTTTTTTAAGATAAATGGCACAAAAAATATAATCTTGTCTAATTTATATTCCTGTTCCGAAGAATGATTATGTTTATAATGAGACTGCAGATGTGAAAAATCATTATTTCTAATATTGTCTAGGCTACAAAATATAAACATACTGCAGAGAGAACCCTGTATTTTCCAGGAAGAACATATATTTTTTTGATCAAATTTTTTTCGTAGTTGAATTACATACACCGGAGTAAGCTGAAGAAAATTGGTTCAACTAATTTTTGTTATTCATGGATTTGGTTCCGGGATAAATATAATCAACATTTTTGACACAACTCAAATTTTCTTATCCTTTTAGCTTTGCAAGCTGATGGAGTAAACCTTAGATATTTCTAACTTTAATTGATTTTGTAGAATTCATAATTTAAAATATTTAAGGTCCACAACATCGGGTTTCATAGATATAGGAATTAAAAAGCCATACTCCTCTGTTTTCAAAATATATTTCGAAATTTTATATCAAATTCTTGAGTTCTTTTGGTTAAGCTAAATTCTTTCGTTCTAATTTTTTTTATATTTTTCAGTTTAAAATTTGGTGTATCTACATAAATTACAATTTTTTATTTCTAAAATTTTGAACACCAAATTCTTGATGTTGTTGGTTAAGCGTAATACTCTCCTGCTTATTTTTCAAAATTTTACAATCTAAAATTTGTTTGTAACATGATGATATCGTGAAGATCTAAATGTGTAGTTTCAGAGTAATAAAACCAGTTTATGGCGTGGGAAACATGGGAAACATAAAATAGGAAAGTATGAAGATAAATACACGGAAATCGTGTCTTCAAATAATTTTTTCGTAATCTCCAAATAATTCCTTTAAAACACCTTGAACCGGCGCTTTTGTGATCTTTATGATTCCATACTTTTGCAAACTTTTGTTACAAATAAAAACCTTCTTTGTAAACTATGTATTTAATACTAGGAAGATAATCAATTTTTGAAACATTAAACTTATCCGGCGGGCGCGGCGAGGACGAGTTGCGTTCAGTTTCTTTTTACGCTCAAATGTACAGAAAATGTCGTCTCCTAAGATAGATAAAAACCTAATATGACGTCACTCTCGCCTCTATAATCAGTGACGTCATATTAGGTTTTATCTATCTATCTTAAGAGACAACATTTTCCCCACATTGGAGCGCATTGAGAGTAACCAACCTTTGTAAACACAACCTTGCTTTTTTTACTTTTTCATATAAAAAGCATATGCCAACAAAGAATTATAAATAAGAAATGGAGAAACAAATATGTCTAATTACACAAATTGTGATTAAACGTCACTGTTTGATGGGATCAGGACAGAATTATATTTATATATATATATATATATTTGATTTATGATAAAATAATGTTAATATAATATAATGAATTAATTTCAGGAGATAAAAATTGCATTGTCACGCTGCCCTTTATACTAAATACAGTCTCAAGGAAATGTTATCGTAAATTTCAGAACTTTTGTTTAGAGTATTGTTAATCCTGAAATATTGATCTGGATATCCAATATGATATCACACGTTAGTCCCATGTAGGCCGTAGGGGTTTAAGATAAATTGTAAAAAAATCTAATTTCCATAGTATTGAAGACTGCTGTCTAGTATCCTAGTATTGAAGACTGCTGTCTAGTATCCTAGTATTGAAGACTGCTGTCTAGTATCCTAGTATTGAAGACTACTGTCTAGTATCCTAGTATTGAAGACTACTGTCTAGTATCCTAGTATTGAATACTACTGTCTAGTATCCTAGTATTGAAGACTACTGTCTAGTATCCCAGTATTAAAGACTACTGTCTAGTATCCTAGTATTGAAGACTACTGTCTACTATACTAGTATTTAAGACTATACTGTTTAATATCCTAGTATTAAAGACTAACGTCTAATATCCTAGTATTGAAGACTACTGTCTAATATCCTAGTATTGAAGACTACTGTCTAATATCCTAACATTAAAGACTAATGTCTAATATCCTAGTATTGAAGACTACTGTCTAATATCCTAGCATTAAAGACTAATGTCTAATATACTAGTATTGAAGACTACCATCTAATATCCAAGCATTGAGGACTATTATCTAATATACTATTATTGAAGATTACTGTCTAGTATCATTCCTAGTATTGAAGACTACTGTCTAGTATCATTCCTAGTATTGAAGACTACTGTTTAGTATCATTCCTAGTATTGAAGAATACTGTCTAGTATCCTAGTATTGAAGACTACTGTCTAATATCCTATTATTGTAGACTTCTATTCAGTGTCCTAGTATTGAGGACTACTGTCTAGTATCCTAGTATTGAAGACTATTGTCTAGTATCCTAGTATTGAAGACTACTGTCTAGTATCCTAGTATTGAAGATTACTGTCTAGTATCCTAGTATATATGTTGTAAACACTTGGTACCCAGGCTAAAGTATCAAGTTATGGATCTAATACAACCAAGAACACCAGAAAACAATACTCCATAGAAATAGTAATTCACATTTATTACAGAAGGATAGCTAGCTAAACAGTTAGAGGTTGGCCACGGAGATCATACCTCTTTTTCCTGACAGCAACTAAAAAAATTGTCAAATTGGAAACACCTGGGAATTTGGGGAATTCCCCAAATGCCTGGGAATCTGTAAAATTCACCAGAAGCCTTGGAATCTGAGAAATTATTTTGGTATTTGGTAAATTTCCCAAATATCTAGGCATTAAGAAATATCCTATAGTTGAAAAATTAAACACCCTCAGATTCTTTAAGGAACTTTGGGAAATCCCCAAATACCTGGGTTTCTGGGGAATTCCCCAAATACTTGGGAATTCTTAAAGAATCTAAGGGTGTTTATGCCCAAATGCCTAGCTATTTGGGAAATTTTCCAAATACCCAGAATATACGGTGCTGTGACAAACTCCTGAAAGACAAACTCCTGAAAGACAAACTCCACGAGCGCTGCGGCTAGGACAGGCTAGAGGGCCGAGCGCTGCGGCCATGGGTTAGGTTAAGTGTTGAAACTTTCTGGGCCGAGTGCTGCGGCTAGATTAAATATAAATTGTGAAACATTTTTTTAAATTTGATATTATGGAGTTTGTATTTCAGAATTTTTTATTTTCAGGAGTTTGTCTCGTCAGGAGTTTGTCTCGTCAGGAGTTTGTCTCGTCAGGAGTTTGTCTCGTCAGGAGTTTGTCTTTCAGGAGTTTGTCTTTTCAGGAGTTTGTCTTTTCAGGAGTTTGTCTTTCCGGAGTTTGTCTTTCAGGAGTTTGTCTTTCAGGAGTTTGTCACGGCGCCCAAACCAAATATTCAGTCATTTGAGAATTTTCCAAAATCTTAAAAATATACCACCATTAATTTCCTATAAAAATTCAGGAAATTTTTGGGAATTTCCATAATACCCGGGAATCTGGAAAATTTACCAAATGCCTGGGAATCTGGAAAATTCTCCTAATGCCTGGGAATCTGGGGAATTTTACAAAGGCATGGGAATCTGGAGAATTCCATAAATACATGGGAATCTGGGAAATTCTCCAAATCCTAGAGAATCTGAGGCAAGTTTATTATATTTTCACGTATACGAAATTTCTCAAATGCCTAGCTATTTCAAATATCCAGTCATTTGAGAAATTTTCAAAATCTTAAAAATATATAAACCTCAAATTCCTATAGGAATTTTGGAATTCCCAAAATGACTGGGAATTTGGGAAATTTCCAAAAATCCTAAGAATCTGGGAAATTCCCCAAATTCCTATTTTCTTCAAAAGTATAATTGGTGTCGGGTCGAAAGAAAAGGATTAGACTGGGAAGGGAAAAGAGGACTCAGGGAAGTTTAAGAAACTCTAGATATTTGAAAGTAGAGAACAATGTTTTTATCTTTTCTGTAATGAAAGTTTTAAATCTGAAGAAAGTAAGAAGGATCTGAAAATATCTTCTGTTTCTAAAATCTACTTTAATTTGAAGATTGTAAAAGAGCTTGAGATTTATCTAATGAGATAAAACTCTGCTAAATTTTGCAAATCATTTCGATCGAGTGCAATTTTATCGTCTTTTAATGGAAATAAATCAGGAAACGTCGACTTTCAAATGAAAATGATTTTGAGAATGCTGTTGGGAATGCTGTTGAAAATGCTGTTGAAAATGCTGTTGAGAATGAAAATGCTGTTGAAAATACTGTTGAGATTGCTGTTGAGAATGCTGTTGAGATTGAAAATGCTGTTGAAAATACTGTTGAGAATGCTGTTGAGAATGCTGTTGAGAATGCTGTGGAGAATGCTGTTGAGAATGCTGTTGAGAATGAAAATGCTGTTGAAAATGCTGTTGAGAATGAAAATGCTGTTGAAAATACTGTTCAGAATACTGTTGAGAATGAAAATGCTGTTGAAAATACTGTTGAGAATGATGTTGAGAATGCTGTTGAGAATGCTGTTGAGAATGCTGTTGAGAATGCTGTTGAGAATGCTGTTGAGAATGCTGTTGAGAATGAAAATTCTGTTGAAAATGCTGTTGAGAATGCTGTTAAAAATGCTGTTGAGAATGCTATTGAGAATGAAAATGCTGTTGAAAATACTATTGGGAATGCTGTTCAGAGTGCTGTTGAGAATGCTGTTGAGAATGCTGTTGAGAATGCTGTTGAGAATGAAAATGCTGTTGAAAATGTTGTTGAGAATGCTGTTGAAAATGCTGTTGAGAATGCTGTTGAAAATGAAAATGCTGTTGAAAATACTGTTGAGAATGCTGTTGAGAATGCTGTTGAAAATACTGTTGAGAATGCTGTTGATAATGCTGTTGAAAATGCTGTTGAGAATACTGTTGAGAATGCTGTTGAGAATTTTGTTAAGAATGCTGTTGAGACTGAAAGTGCTGTTGAAAATGCTGTAGAGAATTCTGTTGAAAATGCTGTTGAGAATGAAAATACTGTTGAAAATACTGTTGAGAATGCTGTTGAAAATGTTGTTGAGAATTCTGTTGAGAATGCTATTGAGAATGCTGTCGTGAAAATGCTGTTGAGAATAATGTTGAAAATGCTGTTGAAAATGCTGTTGATAATGAAAATGCTGATAAAAATACTGTTGAGAATGCTGTTGAGAATGCTGTTGAAAATGCTGTTGAAAATTCTGTTGAGAATGAAAATGCTGTTGAAAATACTGTTGAGAATGCTGTTGAGAATGCTGTTGAGAATGTTGTTGAGAATGCTGTTGAGAATGAAAATGCTGTTGAAAATACTGTTGAGAATGCTGTTGAGAATGCTGTTGAGAATGCTGTTGAGAATGTTGTTGAGAATGCTGTTGAGAGTAAAAATGCTGTTGAAAATACTGTTGAGAATGCTGTTTAGAATGCTGTTGAAAATGCTGTTGAGAATGCTGTTGAGAATGAAAATGCTGATAAAAATACTGTTGAGAATGCTGTTGAGAATGCTGTTGAAAATGCTGTTGAAAATGCTGTTGAAAATGCTGTTGAGAATGCTGTTGAGAATGCTGTTGAAAATGCTGTTGCGAATGCTGTTGAGAAAGAAAATGCTGTTGAAATACTGTTGAGAATGCTGTTGAGAATGCTGTTGAGAATGCTCTTGAGAATGCTGTTAAGAATGAAAATGCTGTTGAAAATGCTGTTGAGAATGCTCATGAAAATGCTGTTGAGAATACTGTTGAGAATGCTGTTGAGAATGCAGTTGAGAATGCTGTTGAGAATGCTGTTGAGAATGAAAATGCTGTAGAAAAAACTGTTGAGAATGCTGTTGAAAATGCTGTTGAGAATACTGTTGAGAATGTTGTTGAGAATGCTGTTGAGAATGAGAAGTGCTGTTGAAAATGTTGTTGAGAATACTGTTGAGAATGCTGTTGAGAATGTTGTAGAGAATGCTGTTGAGGTTGAAAATGCTGTTGAAAATACTGTTGAGAATGCTGTTGAGAATGCTGTTGAAAATACTGTTGAAAATGCTGTTGAGAATACTGTTGAAAATGCTGTTGAAAATACTGTTGAGAATGCTGTTGAGAATGCTGTTGAGAATGCTGTTGAGAATGCTGTTGAGAATGCTGTTGAGAATACTGTTGAGAATGCTGTTGAGAATGCTATTGAAAATGAAAATGATGTTGAGAATGCTGTTGAAAATGCTGTTGAAAATACTGTTGAGAATACTGTTGAGAATGCTGTTAAGAATTCTTTTGAGAATACTGTTGAAAATATTGTTGAGAATGCTGTTGAAAATGCTATTGAGAATGCTGTTGAGAATGCTGTTGAGTATGCTGTTGAGAATATTGTTGAGAATAATGTTGAGAATGCTGTTGAGAATGCTGTTGAGAATGCTGTTGAGAATTCTGTTGAGAATACTGTTGAAAATGCTGATGAGAATGCTGTTGAGAATGCTGTTGAGAAGGCTGTTGAGAATACTGTTGAGAATACTGTTGAGAATGCTGTTGAGAATGCTCTTGAGAATACTGTTGAAAATACTGTTGAGAATGCTGTTGAAAATGCTGTTGAGAATCCTGTTGAGAATGCTGTTGAGAATGCTGTTGAAAATATTGTTGAGAATGCTGTTGAGAATGCTGTTGAGAATGAGAAACAAACCCGATTTACAACAATACACTATAAACCTTTACAACAAAGATAAAGGTATTTTTTTTTTTTCCTTGTTTCTGCTGCATTGATTCGTTAGTTGTTTAAATATTAAGAACGCAATTGGAAATTTTATATTTTAGATAAAACAAGGATATCTTTATTTCTTCATGAAAAAAGTATGAAAGGTACTGTTGTGGATAGACTTGTTATTCTTTTCTTTGTATACCAGATTTACCTAGCTCAAGCTGACCTAGTACCTGTTCTTTGAATAATTCATATTTACCTAGCTCAAGCTGTCCTGCTACCTGTTCTTTGAATAATTTATATTTACCTAGCTCAAGCTGTCCTGCTACCTGTTCTTTGAATAATTCGTATTTACCTAGCTCAAGCTGTCCTGCTACCTGTTCTTTGAATAATTCATATTTACCTAGCTCAAGCTGTCCTGCTACCTGTTCTTTGACTAATTCATATTAATCTTCTTCGTATCTTGAAGATAAGTAATTTTATCAAAATCGTTTAGATTATGAAACTACCCCATTTTTGAAACCATCTTGATTGTTTTCCAATTTTCCTAATTAAAAATAAAATTTGGAGAATCTCATTTCAAAGAGAAGTAATTAAAATTTAGGAATGTGTCGCATTGGGAGGGGGGGGGGGGGACAAAAATTACGAGGATTGGTTAAAAATGAAAGAAATTACAAAAATTGTCAAAATATTTTCGGGGATCCTCCACTTCCAGTAGAAAAAATATCGCATAATTCTTGTAAACAAATTTACTCTATATTATATTATTTTTGTTAAAAATCTTAAAACACTATTTTTACGAAAAATTAAGATAATATTTTTACAGAAAAACTCTTTAAAGGGACTGTAAGCGTTATTTCAAGTGACTCTTCATTTATAGAGAGGCACGTCCGATTCAGAACGGTACCCTGTAAACTTTTGTCCGGAAAACTATTAGGTATTGCTGCAGGGACACTCTCGAGGTTATACTGTTATACTGTATAGTGTATACTGTATACTGTATAAACTTTAAATTCGCACGGTTTCTTGGCTATATAAATAAGAATATCTACGAAATCCTTGAACAAGCAAAGGTTTAAAGGGTATCGTTGTAAATCGGACATAGCCCCCTTTAAATGCAAGGTCGTTAAATTTACGCTTACAGTTCCTTTAAAAGAATCAGATTATTTTTCATATTCTTTTCTCCCGCCAATTTGTACTAGTAAGAACTAAGCAAAGGGTTTTCTAACATTAAATGTTATAAAACTTAGCCTATTACCTAGAGTCCAGTGTATCTGTTCCTTTTCATCATTCTTTCAAGAATTTATCATTTTTTAAATTCCCAGAAAAAGTATTTTCATCAAAGAGGCAAAACAAAGTACACTTATTTAATCCAGACATTTGTTCACAATATTTTTCAAATCATGGTTTTTAAAGGAAATAAATTCTTTTCGTTAAGGGGAATATTGTAACCAGTGTCTATTAAATTCTTTTACTTAAGGCGTTAGAAGATGTAAATCAACGTTTTCAGTTCTAACTCACAATTTCTATTGTTTTTCAATGAATAGTATAAAAAAAATTTTGTTTGTTTAACATTTATATAAGGAGCTGTAGCCACAAGACATATTTAAATTTGTTATGATAATCAAGGCAAGTTTTAAGTAAAAAATCCTATCGTCTCTTTTCAAAATATTTTTTCAATTTGAGAACAAATCCAAGTCCATTAGCGCCTGATCCAATCAGGGTTCGGTCATGTGTTTGTCGTCTATTCTGAACCAATAGAAATAGTATGGAGGTAACATCTATCTTTCTATCTATCTCATTATCCAATTAGAGCTATGAATCCTTCAATCGGCGCTAATAGTAAATGGAAATATTTACGTCTACTGAAACTATAGTACACAGATTCAGCTTCTAATTTAAATTTATTTATTAACTGCAATTTAATCCCAATATCTTTCACTTCCTGACAAAAAAATCCAGGTTCACACAAATTGTCATTTTTTTAATCATTAAACAAAATTGTCAATTGGACAGATTTTTTTATTACTAAATCTACCAAATATCAAAACAGGAAAATGTGCCAAATTCCTTAATAAGTATATTGTTCAATAAGACAAAAGGTTCTCGCAGATAATATTGTTATAGAAAAATGGACAAGGATTTAATGAAAGTTATTTTATCAGAAATATGGGGCAAACAAAATGCTATTCCGTAATGGTTCTCCAATACTATTCTCCTGGGTGCATTCAGTTGGCTCATTTTTGTTTCGTTTTCTTTTTCATGATACAAAGGAATTAAGTCCTTGCCACAAACTCTGATTTTCTAATCCTTATATCTTTGGAAACCACTCTTGTACAAACCTTTGATATTTCAAACTTATATTATTCGATCTAACAGAAGGCATAGTTTGAAATGTCAAAGGTCTACGACATTAGGTTCCAAAGATAAAGGGATTAATAGAAAATCAGAGTTTGTGACAAAGACTCAATTCCTTAGAGAAAGAAAAGCAAATGAACGTTTCATCTTTTTACACTTTGTCAAACTTTGACCTTGACATACAAAAATCGACCCAAACACAATGCAACAACCGTGTTTTGGTCGTCTTTAATTTTTCATTTTTTTTTAGAATAAACTTACTTTGCCATAAAACTGTTTTGAAATCTTTGAGGTTTTATTGAGTTTCTATTTTTAGGGGAGGTGAATTTTTAGACAGATAAAAAGACATAATCGTTCCCATTCTGCATCAAAGCAAATTTTTTTTTCTTATGAAAAATTGAAATCTTGAATTCAAAAACTTGCCAAATAAAGTTTATATGATTATGTAGTTTCTAGGGGTCTAGACTAGTATACTACTATTGGTAGACAGGTTCATTTATATTCTTGTAAACTAGAAAATAGAAAGTCGGAAAGTTAGATATCTCCAGATTGTCTCATTTCTCACCCTGTCTCAGTTTACACTATAGTACATAAATAAATTCTAAAACTCTAGGATACAAAATAATCTATTTCACATTGACGCCCAGTCAAAATTCTCGTATTTGAACTTTTCAGGCTCTCAACTTGCTCTTTTAGCATTGTATTTGTGTTAGTATTCTTTCCGTTGTTCAAAAGAATACACCTATCCTGTCCTATCCTGTCCTATCCTATCCTATCCTGTCCTATCCTGTCCTATTCTTTCCTATCCTGTCCTATCCTGTCCTATCCTGTTCTATCCTATCCTATCCTGTCCTATTCTTTCCTATCCTGTCCTGTCCTATCCTGTCCTATCCTATCCTATCCTGTCCTATCCTGTCCTATTCTTTCCCATCCTGTCCTGTCCTATCCTATCCTGTCCTATCCTGTCCTATCCTGTCCTATCCTGTTCTATCCTATCCTATCCTGTCCTATTCTTTCCTATCCTGTCCTGTCCTATCCTGTCCTATCCTGTCCTATTAATCTACCATATTCTATTCCATCCTCCCGGCCCTATCCAGCTCTATCCTAAGATGTTTGTATCTTATTTATTATTTATATTGGATGAGAGTTAGATCTGCTCTGGGCATGAAATTTGTCTGATGTCGTGAAAAATTTAAACTTAGAATAAATATAATCAAAGGAAAGAAACTTACCGGAGCGTATTGTCAACAAAATTAGTAAATAAAACTAAACACACACACAGTCACACACAAACACACTCACTACGGTATTACAGGGTTACCCAAAACGGATGACACTTCAGAGACGACTGTACAATATTTGTACTATCTGTTTCCTTGTATTCAGAATCAGACTCGCAACTGGTAACTTACTTGTTCTTTTTTTCATTTAATAAACCATTATAATTTAAAAGAGTAGATCGTTGAAGTAAACTTGTAATTTAAAAGAGTAGATGGCTGAAGAAAACTTTTAATTTAAAAGAGTAGATCGTTGAAGCAAACGTGTAATTTAAAAGAGCAGATCGTTGAAGGAAACTTGTAATTTAAAAGAGTAGATAACTGAAGGAAACTTGTAATTTAAAAGAGTAGATCGTTGAAGGAAACTTGTAGTTTAAAAGAGTAGATCGCTGAAGAAAACTTGTAATTTAAAAGAGTAGATCGTTGAAGAAAACTTGTAATTTAAAAGATCAGATCGAATTTAGAAATAGGTTTGTAACGAGTAACGACTTTAGTTTTTAGACCGGGCTAACTTTTAGGGGTATGAACACTTCATAGAGCATTTAGAGTTTTAAAGGAGCAATTGACCAAGACCGAATCAAAAAAATCAAAATCTTAGCGCAAAATCAATGAACATTTGGGAAGCCGGAGATATATTGAGGCCGGACAGTATCGAGTTACGTTATCAATCATGCAAAAAATATTGAGTTTGCAAGTAATAAAGTTTATTATATCATATAATAAGAGTTGAAATTGTGTATGAAGTTTTCCTATATTTAATAAGTTGAATTGGTCGAAACGTCAAAAGTTGTCCTAAGTAGGAAATTATAAAGTTTAATCTCATTTTTAGTTTTATCTATTTTTATTCAATAGAACTTTGAAACCGTTTTTCTTTTAAATGTTTTAGTCAAGGGCGTACAAAAAATGAGGCATAACGTTATTTTATATTTTTTAAATTTTAAAATCTAGAAAGTAAAAAGTATCTACATGAATTAAAGAAAGACCTTGACGTGACATATAAATAAATTTTTATATTTTGGATTGTCTTAAAGCCTCTTTAAAGACAAAATCTTGAAAAGAGGAACTTTTATTAATTAATTAATTTATTTATTCATCATTTACTCATTAATTCATTAATTTTTTATTTACTTATTAATTTATTAATTTATTATTAACTTATTAATTCATTAATTTATTATTTACTTATTAATTTATTAATTTATTATTAACTTATTAATTTATTAATTTATTATTTACTTATTAATTTATTAATTTATTATTAACTTATTAATTCATTAATTTATTATTTACTTATTAATTTATTAATTTATTATTAACTTATTAATTCATTAATTTATTATTTACTTATTAATTTATTAATTTATTAATTTATTAATTAATTTATTTATTAATT